AGTGGGGTATAGTGACACAGTAACAGAGGGATTGAGGGCCCTGCTCAGTGAGTTTACATGCTAGAGGGAGTGGGGTATAGTGACACAGTAACAGAGGGATTGAGGGCCTGCTCAGTGAGTTTACATGTTAGAGGGAGTGGGGTATAGTGACACAGTAACAGAGGGATTGAGGGCCCTGCTCAGTGAGTTTACATGTTAGAGGGAGTGGGGTAAAGGGACAGAAAGGAAGTAGAATGGAAGTAGATTGGTAGAATAGGATTCAATGAAAACTTAGTGATGGTCTTTTTTGGAGCCATTAACAGTTTTGTGAAAAAGGGAGGTTTTAATGATTTTTTTGAAGGAGTGGAAACTTAAAATACTGATATATAAATTGTCTGTTAATAGATATATACTTCAAGCCATAAAACATTGGAACGCTCGATATCATTTCTTCTTTTATGTCACAATCTTTCTGTTGTAATTATTTGTTTGTCTCATTGACCCATTTTATAGTGCAACTTAATGTGCTGGTACTTTATCAATAATAATAATAATAAAAAAATTCTTCTACTTTAACCCCTTAGCGACCGAGGACGGTTCAGGACCGTCATCGGCATTTTTGGCTTGCCGACCGATGACGGTCCTGAACCGTCCTAACGGTCCTATTTACTTACCTGATCGCCGTCGTTCCCCCGGCGGCGATAAGCGTGGCTCCGGTTGTGGGGAGACTTTCTGCAGCCCAGACAGTCTCCCCACACTGGATTAGGACCCCTGTGGCAGTGTGATCGCTCAACACAGCGATCACATGGTCACAATAGGTGTCCTAGTGTCTGCCTGCAGGGGGACTGTCTGTGCTGACAGGCAGTCTCCCTGCTAGTGTAAAATCATAGAAAAAAATAAAGTTAGTGTTAATAAAAAAAATAATTATATATGTGTATATATATATATGATATATAGACATATATTATATGTATATAATATATGTCTATATATCATATATATATATATATATATATAATGTCATACTAAGTGTATTTTTATATTAATATGTACTTATTTTAATATAAAAATACACTTATAATTAAATTACACACGTATATATATAATATATATAATAACTATATATATTGTATATATATATATATATATATATATATTATAAAATATAAATAATAAGTAATTTAAATTAAATAAATTTTTTTAAAATAATAATAAAATTTGAAAATTTTTTTATATATCTATATGAAATTTTATTCTAACTGTATTTTAAAATTAATATATATATATATTTATATCAAAATACACTTAGAATGAATTTGTATATATATCTATGTATATATAAATAAATAAAAATAATATGAAATATACATATGTCCATATACAAAATTACATAAATAATTATATAAATATACACGTAGACTTCAAATATATAAATATGCATATATATATTTAAATTCTACGTGCGTATTTATGTAATATTTTTACATAATTCAGTAATTTTATTGATTGCAATTTGAGGGACCTGCCTGCCAACCCAGGCCGAAATTCCAGAGAATTTAATTTGCTAGCACTGTAATTTACCCTGTAACGTTCTATGACACCCTAAAACCTGTACATGGGGGGTACTGTTTTACTCGGGAGACTTCGCTGAACACAAATATTAGTGATTCAAAACAGTAAAACATATCACAGTGATGATATTGTCAGTGAAAGTTACTTTTTTGCATTTTTCACACACAAACAGCACTTTTACTGGTGATATAATTGTTGTGATACGTTTTCCAGTTTTTAAACACTAATATTTGTGTTCAGCGATGTCTCCTGAGTAAAACAGTACCCCCCATGTACAAGTTTTATAGCATTTTTGAAAGTTACAAGGTCAAATATATGGGTCAAATATTTTTACATTGAAAATGGCCAGGTTGGTTACGTTGCCTTTGAGAGCGTATGGTAGCCCAGGAATGAGAATTACCCCATGATGGCATACCATTTGCAAAAGAAGACAACCCAAGGTATTGCAAATGGGGTATGTCCAGTCTTTTTTAGTAACCACTTGGTCACAAACACTGGCCAAAATTAGCGTTCAATTTAGTTTTTTTACTTTTTCACACACAAACAAATATGAATGCTTACTTTGGCCAGTGTTTTCGACTAAGTGGCTACTAAAAAAGACTGGACATACCCCATATTGAATACCCTGGGTTGTCTACTTTAAAAAAAAATACGTACATGTGGGGTGTTATTCAGAGATTTATGACAGATAATAGTGTTACAATGTCACTATTGATAAATTTAAAAAAATGTATGTTTTGAAACCGCAATATCCTACTTGTACCTATAGCCCTATAACATGCAAAAAAAAGCACGTAAACACTGGGTATTTTTAAACTCAGGACAAAATTTTGAATCTATTTAGCAGTTTTTTTCATTCGCTTTTGTAGATGAGTAAAAGATTTTTCAAGTAAAAGTCAAAAAACATGTATTTTTTTCAATTTTTCATCATATTTTTTATTTTTTTTAAATTAAAATACATGAGATTATATAAATAATGGTATGTAAAGAAAGCCACTTTTGTCCTGAAAAAAACAATATATAATTTGTATGGGAACAGTAAATGAGAGAGCGGAAAATTCCAGCCAAACACAAACACCACAAAAGTGTAAAAATATGCCTGGTCGCAAATGTACAACATCGCAAAAACAGTCCAGTCCTTAAGGGGTTAAGAAAATCAAAACTATTTTTTGATCAGAACACGTTTACTTCTTTTTTTTTATGATGTAAAACTACCGTAAATCAAATCCCCTTTTTTTTCACAGGCCGCAGACAGGAAGACATTTTAATTTTCAGGTTTCAAAGATGATGGGTCAGTTTTATTTGAAAGAATTCTTTAATAATATTGAAAGGTTTTACATTACTCACTGGAAGAAAAGAAAAAAAAAATTTCCTTTTAACAATTTTTAAGACATTCTTCCTATTTGCAGTTATACAAGTTGGCCTAGGAACTGGAATATTACCAATAAGTTACTAGCATCCTCTGCCTTAAAGGACCACTATAGGCACCCAGACCACTTCAGCTCAATGAAGTGGTCTGGGTGTCAGGTCCCTCTAGGACTCACCCTGCAGCTGTAAACATAGCAGTTTCAGAGAAACTGCTATATTTACAATAGGGTTAATCCAGCCTCGAGTTGCTGTCTCATTGACAGCCACTAGAGGCGCTTCCGCGCTTCTCACTGTGAGAATCACAGTGAGAAGACGCTGCCATCCATAGGAAAGCTTTGAGAAATGCTTTCCTATGGACTGATTAAATGCGCGCCCGGCTCTTGCCGCGCATGTGCATTCAGCGCTGACATCAGAAGAGGGAGGAGAGTTCCCCAGCACCGAGGGAGCCCGGCGCTGGAGAAAGGTAAGTGTTTAACCCCTTCCTCCCCCTCCATCCCAGCGGGAGTGGGACCCTGAGGGGGGGGGGGGAACCTAAAGACCCTATAGTGCCAGGAAAACAATTTTGTTTTCCTGGCACTATAGTGGTCCTTTAAGGGTCACTCTGTCCGTATATTGTTAAAACATTTGTGTCTCTCAAAAGTGACTCTGGATAGGAGAAAAAATATAATTCGTAAGTCACCTAAACGTTATCAGATACTCCCACACCTCCTAAAATGAAAGTTTGGCCATTTGTAATGTTGGAAGGTATGCAGAATACTTTTTTGTTTTATACTATGCACATTTGAGCAGGCAAAAAAATCGAGCATAATACGAAGTCCAGAAGAGTTACAATGCTTAAAGCTGCTTTAGCATCTTGGTTATGTCATTCTCACACCTTGCACATACTTATTCATTCACACACACACACGTAGTTATAAGAGGAAAACTCCACAAGTTTGGTGTTTAACCCCATCACCTCGGCCAGAGGTCCTACAGGCCACAAGCTTTTCACGCTCCTCTTATGTTTTGTTGAGGTGGAACAACTTCAGGTAAGTATATCCCCCATCAACCTCTCCATGGAGCCCCATGTACTCAGATAAGTCACATTGGGAAGACATCCCACAAGGAACAGTGCTGATTTTGATATAATGTGTAATTGTTAATCAAGCCACAATGGGGGAAATTTATCAAAATTTCACAAAAAAAAGTCAGGTTTGTTTGTTTTTGTCTGTTGGTCTCTCTGTGCCCGTGCTGTCATTTTTAAATGTCTGGTATTTTTTGGGGGCGACACAACACAGTTGTCAATCTACGGGTCATTTTTTTCCACTAAGAAAGTGTATTTTAGTTCACTTTTTTTCTGCCACTTAAAATTTTGTCATCTTTTCTCAAATAGATACATCTTAGAAAAATAGTGGAATTTAAACAGAGAATATCCAACACGTTTTAGTCACAGACTTCTATAATTGTGTAACAAAGACCATAGGGTCTGCACTCTTTTCTTGAAACCAGTTTGAAGTCTATCAATCATCTAGTATGTGTACCATTACCTGTCTATTCTTTGATACATAAAGATGAATCAATCGACTACGCATTTCTCAGATTGTGAAGATCGTGTTTGAAATTATTTTGAAACGTCTACTAATTATTTTGTCCAAAACATCCAGAGCCCCATTACAGTATGCTATTTTCTATGACCCTGAGAGGTACTTTCTTTAATCTTGAGAGAACCTATGTATTCTTA